AAAGTTGTGAGCGAGTGATTTGGCTACTGCATAGCTTACTTTGCTCTGGAGCCCTCCTTCCTGAGCTAAGGCAAAAATGTGTGAGAGCCAGAGGCTGAAAAACTGTGAGCTAACTCACACTAACTCAGCTTAGAGGGAACATTGCCTGTGAGGGAGGTGGTGCTGAGAGGGCTCTGACAGAAAGTGCTCTTTTTTCAAGAACAGCTCTGAGAGAACTGTGGCTTGCCCAAGGTCATCCAGCAGCTACAAGTGGAGGAGCGGGGAATCAAACCCAATTCTCCCAGATTAGAGCCCGCGCACTTAACCACGACACCAAACTGGCTCTCAGACCACGGCCCCCAGCATTAGGGAACGGGAGGCAAGAAGTGGGACGTGGCGGTCCAACATTGGCTAATAGCCACTGATGGACCTCTGCTCCATATGCTTATCTAATTCCCTTTTGAAGCCGTCCATGCTTGTAGCTGCCACCACTTCCTGTGGCAGTGAATTCCAAGTGTTAATCACTCTTTGGGTGAAGAAGTACTTCCTTTTATCCGTTCTAACCCGACCGCTCAGCAATTTCATGGAGTGCCCACGAGTTCTTGTATTGTGAGAAAGGGAGAAAAGTACCTCTTTCTCTACCTGCTCTTTCCCATGCATAATCTTATAAACCTCAATCATGTCACCCCTCAGCCGTCGTTTCTCCAAGCTAAAGAGCCCCAAGTGCTTTAACCTTTCCTCATAGTGAAAGGGGAGAGGAGAAAACCAACATCAGTTCAGGCAGGGAATAAAGGGCAGCTTTGCCCAGGCGCCCCATCCCTTAGGAAGCTGGAATGTTTTTGTTTTAAAATAAAAAAAATTGGGGGGGGGGAATTCCCGAGGGAATACAAGGCACAAACTACACTTCCAAGCAGGCCCAAAGAGCCAGGACTCCGACTGATGAGCGAGACCTGCTTCCCCATTGATCAGGGGGCCCGCAGAACTGGGCAGAAGGCCCACAAGCCCCCGTGCCCGTTCTTGCCTAACTCTCACGCCGGTTTATCAAGCCGATTCCATAAATCTGGGAGGAGCGGAAATGCTACTGAGATCAACCTCCGCGTTGATCATGCAGCTACCCCCCCCCCCCCCAGTTTTTTTGCTCTGCAACATTCAGGCAGGAAAGCTGAACCATGAAGGCTGTGAAAGATGGACATCAGGCTTTCGCGTGAGGAGGAAGGAAAAAAACAGTTCTCTCTCCTATCATCATAGTAATATCACTAGAAATTTGCTTGGGGGCGGGGGAGAAAAACTTAACACAAAAGCTGACCCAACTCGGGAGGCCGCATTCTGTGTCCAGTCCCCATTCCTGTGATCAGAGAACTAACACGTTGGGTCCACCTGGAGGGCAAGAAAGTATTAGGCTGCTGGTCAGATGGTGAGGGGTAGGAACATTCTGCAAACCAAGGAAGGTGGCACGGGATATAAAATCCAGTGTGCTGAAAAATCTCACTTTTTTTTTTAAGCCCTCTAGTTTCTAGCACGTGAGTCTGAAAAATCCTAAAGTATGGGGACACGTCTGGTGGAATCTCAGAAGTGTGAGGAGGGAGCGAGGAGGGAGAATGGGAGCCACCGGGCTTCCGTGTCCTGCAAAAAAATTACAGACATCTCTCTCTGCAGGCCACAGAATCCTGCTTGCTTTGATGCAGAATGAGAAGGGGGCGGAGCTTCCTTTTTGAATGGCAGCTCTGAAAAGGTAAAAGGTAAAGGTTTCCCTTGCTCGAAAGCCAGTCGAGTCCGACTCTAGGGTTGCAGTGCTCATCTCCGTTTCAAAGCCGAAGAGCCAGCGCTGCCCGAAGACGTTTCCGTGGTCATGTGGCCGGCATGACTAAACACCAAGGCGCACGGAACGCTGTTTGTACCTATTTATCTACTTGCAATTTCTTGCTTTCGAACGGCTAGGTTGGCAGGAGCTGGAACGAGAGACGGGAACTCACTCCGTCATGTGACAACTCGGGTCTCGAACTGCTGAACTGGGGCTCCCCCAAACCCTTGCAATGGCTTCGGAAGGCAGAGAAGGAATCTCACAGGGAAGGCGGGGATACCCTTATCTGACACCAGCCTTGCACGTGACTGGAGTGTGTGTGTGTGTGGGGGGGAGACCTCTACACGGCTGGGAACATTACAGGTATTATCTGCTTTGACTGCATTGTCTTCTGCCTTGTAATTCTACTTTGTGAGCTACTGGCATTAAAGTTGTGAGCGAACGATTTGGCTACTGCATAAATTAGTTTGCTCTGGAGCCATCCTTCCTGAGCTGAGACAAAAATGTGTGAGCTGGAAGCTAAAAAACTGTGAGATAGCTCACACTAACTCAGCTTAGTGGGAACACTGGTCTCAGGCTGAGGTCTTCCCCATCACCTCCTGCCTGCTCCCTTTTAACTGGAGATGTCGGGGACTGAACCTGGGACCTTCTGCATGCCAGGCAGAGGCTCTACCACTGAACCACATGCAGCCCAGGCAGAGGCTCGGCCACTGAACCACAGACCCTCCTTTCAGCTCTACAGGGTCTCAGGCGGAGGTCTTTCCCATCACCTCCTGCCTGCTCCCTTTTAACTGGAGATGTCGGGGACTGAACCTGGGACCTTCTGCATGCCAGGCAGAGGCTCTACCACTGAACCACAGCCCCTCTTTACAGCTCTCCAGGGTCTCAGGCTGAGGTCTTTCACACCACCTCCTGCCTGGTCCTTTTAACTGGAGATGCCGGGGATTGAACCAGGGACCTTCTGCGTGCCAAGCAGAGGCTCCGCCACTGAGCCACGGCCACTTTGTGTATTGTTCAGAGTACATCGGCCTTATACAGTCTGTTGTCCGCCTTGTTCTAATACTGTAATCGTAGTCCAATTGCATGGTTCACTGGCTGTCTAGTACTGTAATCGTAGTCCAATTGCACGGTTCACTGGTTGTCTTGTGATGTCTGAATAGCCCTGTTTTGTACCCTGTAATCAGCCTCGAGTCTCAGCAAGAAAGATGGAGTATAAATAATGCAAATCCACCCACACCATAAAAACAAGAACTGCCAGGCTGGGTCAGACCCACCTGCCAGGGTCTAAGTTATTTGTTGGTACCCGTTCCAGGCCCTAAGGACGCCAGGCTTGCTGCCACCAGGGCCAGGGCCTTTTAAGTGGCGGCTCCATACTGGTGGAATGAGCTCCCGGAAGAGATCAGGACCCTGTGGGAACTTTTGCAGTTCCACAGGGCCTGCAAGACAGAGCTCTTCCACCAGGCTTTTGATTAGGAGCCACTACACCACCACCACCAACATCCATGGTTATGGACCGGCTTTGGTCTGGAGAGCATACTACATCATCGCTCTGTGCTGAAGATCACTAGGTTGGAAAGAACTGTGAGTATGCCATCTCATTTAGTCAAAAGATGATATCGTCACTAGCACTTTAATTATCGGAGTGTTTTAATGCAGCCCAGGAAGAACCAACGTCATCAAGCCAAGCCGAAGTGAATGCCGTCCGGAACACGTCTGAAGCCTACAGCTGAACAAAATCCCCGTCGGCTGCAGATGTGTGCGATTTCAAGAATTATATGTTGTCCTCCCTTACCCCTATGAAAATTGTTAGTCCCTTGTGTGAAACCTGTGTAACTGTAAATCGCTCAGAGCCAGCAGCTCTGCCGGATTGAGCGATCAATAAATTGAAAGGTATTATTATTAATAATACTAATGTTTATGTTTCAATGTTTTAATCTTTGTATACGGTTTTACGGTACCGGGTACTGACTATTGTTAGCCGCCCTGAGTTTGCTTGCGGGGAGGGTGGGGATATAAATTGAAATAATAAATTAATACCCACCAAGAGTTTGATCTCTTTGGCCCGGTTGGCGTATCTGAGGGTGTTGTACGTGTCCTCGTAGGACAGCACGGATGGGCTCACGGCAGCGATCATGATGGTCCGGCAGTTGCCGCCAATGGAGTCCTTCAGGAGGCGCGTCAGCTTGCTGTCCCGGTATGGAATGTGAGGCTTTTTGCTCTGGGGACCAAAGAGAATCTGTTTATGGAAGTTGTTCCAAATAGGGAAAGGCCCGCACACGGAGTGACATTTCCCGGCAATCCTTCTCCGGTTATTGTTCACATAAACAAATGCCCCTGCTTGGACGCCGAACGACGACAACAGGGAAAGCCATTTTTAGGGGCTGAATTTCCCTCGGTTCCATCTCAGCTTCTTTGTGGGCAGAACAAGTTATAAAGACAAATAGCCAAGCAGGAATTATAGCAGTGATGGCGAACCTTTTAGAGACCGAGTGCCCAAACTGCGACCCAAAACCCACTTATTTATCGCAAAGTGCCAACACGGCCATTTAGCCTGACTACTGAGGTTTTACTTTAGAAAAAACAACTCATACATTAACTTAAGATGATCCAGACAAAGTAAGGAAAGCAATCCCAAATGCTTTCATTTACTTAAAATTATTTGGCAGAGAATTCGACACTTTAATGATGGTCTGGGCCTGGCTGGGGCGATGGCACCCCTGCCATAGGTTCGCCACCACTTAATTATAGCATGCATTCCCTCAGTATGGAATTCCAGGTGCTGAAAGTTCTGAAAGCATTTTTGCAAAAACATTCTATTACGGGAAAACAAGAAGAAGAGAAGAGATTGGATTTATACCCCGCCCTTCACTACCCAATGGTGTCTCAGAGCGGCTTACAAACTCCTTTCCCTTCCCCTCCCCACAGCAGACGCCCTGTGAGGTAGGTGGGGCTGAGAGAGCTCTGACAGAAAGTGCTCTTTTTCAAGAACAGCTCTGATAGAACTATGGCTTGCCCAAGGTCATCCAGCAGGTACAAGTGGAGGAGTGGGGAATCAAACCCAGTTCTCCCAGATAAGAGTCCACGCACTTAACCACTACACCAGACTGGCTCACACATCAGACTGGCTCACTCTCAAGGTGTGGCTTTCACTGGGGAAGGTCAAGATAGGTAGCCGTGTTAGTCTGTCTGTAGCAGTAGAAAAGAGCAAGAGTCCACGAGCACCGTAAAGATGAGCAAAATCGGTGGCAAGGGAGGAGCTTTCGTGAGCCACTGATCACTTCTTCAGATACAACTAGAATCTGAATCCATCTGACCTTATACCTTGGAGAGTGGAGTGATTCAGATGCTGAATGACCATAGCAGGCAAAGGACAACAGCAGGTGAGTGATAATAGCAAGCATGATTGGATTAGGTGTGATATGCAGAGGGATAGTAGGCATGGAGAAATCAGAACGGGTGATGAGACAGGAAACCTAGGTCTCAATTCAGCCCAGGAGGATGCATTGTCTTGAGCTTCATTATCAGTTGCAGTTCAGCAGCCCCTCTTTCTAAGCTCCCTTTAAAATTCCTTTGGGGAGACACAGATGTCCTCTAATATTATCTGAGCAGCTCTGGAATAACATTCTATTAACTATTAAGTGTGTGGGGGGGAAGGGGGAGTTGGGGGCTAACCAGAGGTCTTGAGTGTCAGGGAGCTGTTGCTGTTCTCTCCCTCTCTGCCAACCTTCCAAAATGACCAGGTAACCACAATGCATAACACGGCACCATCTTGGTGTGCGCAGTCCCACCCTTGTGGCTAAGAGTGGGTCAACCTCTCCTGTAATGTTTTTAAGCCTGGTAGAAAAGGCAGGTTCTTTTTCTGTGGAGATCCCCAAGCCTGTGACTCTGTCTCGGGCCTTGCCTGCTGATGTTCAGGAAGCAATCGGAGTTGTTCAGGAAGCAATCCAAGGCTTTCCTGTTTGGTTGAGCTCCAGCTGTAAGAGATGGGTTGCCTTCAAAAGAATAACCCATACATTTTTACCAGTTTGTCTAGGACAGTGATGGCGAACCTTTTAGAGACCGAGTGCCCAAACTGCGACCCCAAACCCACTTATTTAGCGCAAAGTGCCAACACGGTCATTTAACCTGAATACTGAGGTTTTACTTTAGAAAAAAACAACTCATACATTAACTTAAGATGATCCAAACAAAGTAAGGAAAGCAATCCCAAAGGCTTTCATTGACTTAAAATTATTTGGCAGAGAATTCGACACTTTAACGATGGTCTGGGCCTGGCTGGGGCGATGGCACGCGTGCCCACAGAGAGGGCTCTGAGTGCCACCTCTGGCACCCGTGCCATAGGTTCGCCACCACTGCTCTAGGATGTATTCATGAACGTATTTTATACTCTGTTTATACTCTCCTTTGTCAACTGCTTGGAAGTTGAAGACAAAAAAGAGTACTATTTCTTTAAAAAAAATAATAATCTGGAAGCGAAGAGGCAAATTTTCTATCTTAAAAAACACCTTGCCAGAACAAGCGGGTGGAGGCGTACCTTTGCATCGGCCAGGGCATTGATTACGTTGATCAGGGCCAGGAGAGAGCGGTTGATGTTGGCGCCCTCGCGCAGTCGCTCCCCTTTGGTGTTGGCGACAGAGGCCCGTTCGGAGCCCGCCAAGTCAATCAGGCTCATCTTGGCCACCCGCAGGTCCCGGGTGACGCCCACCGCACTGCCCCGCTGCTTCACGTAGATCTGCAAAGAGAAGAGAGGGAGGGCCAAGAACATTGTGTGATTTTAGTTAGAGGCTTCTTCGTTTGTAACGTTTTTCACTGTACCACATGTGAGCCTGCTTGATTCTAATAAAGCGCTGCTGACAGGCCGTTCGGGAGACACAGAACAGCTTGGGACAGAGAGAGAGCGAAGCTTGGATCAGAAAGCTTCAATTGATCTGTCGCATTGTGTCGTCACTGAACCCACAAACTACATCACCAAGGCCAGGCTTACCTGGAAGATGGCATGGGAGCGGGAAGACGTGGCGTTGATGTCCGTGGGGTGCTGCGTGCGGTTCTGGTTCCCTCGCGCCAACATGTCTAGCAGCTGCTCTGCAGTTTGGGGCTAAAAGGAGGTGGAGACACCGGAGAAGAGGGAAGGGGGTCAGGAGCGGTCTGGTAAGGTGCCCCAGGCAGCCACGGCCCCTGAGGAATGGCTCCTCTTCTGCACCCCACCCCAGCCGCAGGAAACGCGTACATGGCACTGCCTGGCGCCTAACGTGTTCGGCAATCTCTCTGAGCAGCTGGAGGGTCACGCCTCCCCTCCCTCCTCCACCTCCCACTGCGGGAGAAGACGTGATGCTCTCTCAGCCCTGCCTGCCTCACAGGGTGTCTGTTGTGGGGAGGGGAAGGGAAAGGAGATGGTAAGCCGCTCTGAGACTCCGAGTGAAGGGCGGGGTAAAAATCCAATCTCCTCCTCCTCCTTCCTATTATTATTATTATCGTATGTAAAGTAAAGGTAAAGGTTCCCTTGCTTGAAAGCCAGTCGAATTCGACTCTAGGGTTGCGGTGCTCATCTCAGTTTCCAAGCCGAAGAGCCAGTGCTGTCCGAAGACGTTACCGTGGTCATGTGGCCGGCATGACTAAACACCAAGGCGCACGGAAGGCTGTTACCTTCCCACCGAAGCGATACCTATTTATCTACTTGCAATTTCTTGCTTTCGAACTGCTAGGTTGGCAGGAGCTGGAACTAGAGACGGGAGCTCACTCCATCATGTGGCACCCGG